TAAAAAGTAACATTTCCTACATCGTTATATTCACATTTGATGTAGAAATTAAAGTTCATTTTTTGAAAAAGAAATTGTTCTATTTCTAAGTTTTGATAGAACAATCAGTTTTAATGAGTATGTATCATATGATATTCTCATACATATGTCAACAGAGAACAAAAGCTACAAACAAGGAATAAACAAATGGTAAATATTAATCTAAGCAAGAAGATGAGTTTTAATTAAAAGAAAGAAAGAAACGACCAATGGAAATTGAAGAAAATAACTTGAAAGCACTAAATAAGGAGAAATAAGGCAGAAGAGAGAAAACGAGCTACACATGGCAAAGAAGGCAAAGAGTATTCAAGGTAGAGCAAGAGAGATTCGTTGCGTGTAAAGGTTGGACAGTGGGCACGTAATAAAATAACATGACTAAGAGCATAATTTTAAAGTCGTTTAAAAATATTTTCTATACCAGTTGGCTAAGCAAAACCGATGTAGAAAGTTATTAATTTTGAGTAATTAAATAATTCATAGTACTTCCTACATTGAATTTTTTTAGCTTGTGGAGAAATTTTTTTTTTTTGGTTAGTTGCATGAGCAAGCAAGGTAGAAAAACAAAAGTCATAGCTTTAATTTATAAAAATGCCATTAATAATTGCATCATCTTTGCAACACCAGCATAAAAGGCTCGTTGTTAAAAATAATATTTTGAACTAGCAGGGGTAATTTCATCTGAAAAATTCAGACTATAAATGACTAATTTTCCATACAAGAAGGTGGTTGTATTGAGTAATTCTATGTAGAATGGGATTTGAATTGGAGTTAGATTTGACTCCTCATAACCATGCCAAACATAAATAGTTGGCATTAGTATATTACCTAATCCCACATAACCAACAGGTATGTATTGAGTTTATTGATAAAAGGGTAGTAGCCTACATTGTAGTCTCCCAGTCCAATAAACATAGGTCGATCGGTCTTGCTTCAGCTACCAAATATGACCTAAAATCCTTTCATATTTTCCCTTAAATTGAGGTGTTATTTAGAGCTTTGCGTCTATATAATAAAAAGGGGTTATTTAGTTAAATTTGTTGATTAGGAAGTAGTTAAAATTCTCATAATTTGAAAAATAACTTACAAAGAGAACTTTAGGTAGGTTCTACTTCCTTAGTGCTTAATGTATATTTCCAAAGTTATGTTAAAAAATGGGAAGGTAAAATTCAATTAAAAGGATATTTTTATGTTTAAGATTAAACAACATATATTTAAATTTTTAAAAAAGATAGACTTCCCAAGAAATTAAGAATGAATGAAACAAGGAAGCATTTATGAACTTTTGAGAAATGAATAACTATCTAGGATGTATATTTTCTAGGAAGTTTACTTATTAAAAATAGATTAATTGAACCAAACCACCCTAAATTAATAAATGGAGAAGCAGAATATGTCCTACCTCTTTTGCCATGCATCTTTTCAACCAAACACAATATATGCAAGTCAATTCGCTGCATATGTTTGAATAAAATTTGATCTTTGAATTCGAATAAAGGATGGCCAAGTGCTTACCTGGATTACCACCATATGTAGCAATGATGAAGGAAACCAATACATACAAAGCTAGAATCCACGATAGCATACTGCTCTTCATGCTTTGAAGCTTATAGGAAATTAAAGAGGAAAAGAGAAACGAACCGGGAAGCTTGAATGATTCTATATTGGCAGTGCTTTTAGCGGAGAAAATGGAGTATATATAGATGAATACCCTCTCTCTCTCTCTCTCTCTCTCTCTATATATATATATATATATATTTGTTTGAGTTTGATTTGGAGAACAATTGAATGAATAAATGTATTGATATCACCTTCAATAGAGAATATGAAAATTACATGAAGCATAATTTATAAATTCATTATAAATTTTATGCTTTATATTGGAGGATGACTTATGATTGACATTGATGGGAAAGTTATATTACATGAGACAGCTCATTGGTCATAAAGGACTCGGTCAGAGGCAAATTTAAGCAAGTCGACTCATATTGAATAAATATGAAAAACCATTAATCATTTTCCTATTTTCCTGGAAAGGAACCTTCAAGTGTTTATACGTATATATTATTTGTTCCATGATATGCATAAATATATTACTATGATTTGACTGAGTGTTTAATTATATAATTAATCATTTTATATTTTTACAACATATAATTCATTGGTAAAAATATTTAAAACAGATTTAACTCAATTCTTTATTTGGTTCTTAATTTACCATAATATTTTATAAACGTGAGATGTTAGAAAACGGTAACATCATTTGTAGTACTATTAAACAACAAAAGGACTGATAATATTTGCAAGACAAAAGTATACTTTTGATGATCTAATTTTATAAAATTTTTCGATTTAATTCTCATGAGTTTATATAGTACCTTTTTAGTAATAATCTCATCATAAAATCGTCAATCTCAGTAACAGAAAATATACTTAGCTGTTAACTAACTAAGCCTTCATAAATGCTGACATATTTGTTAGTAAAATCTCGATCCTTTAATTTTAATTGTAAATTTGATGACGCTTTGATGACCAACTGTTGGTTGGAGGGGTTCAAAGAGAGCGGATGACTAAGTCTAGAGGCCATTATTTCCTGGAAGAAGGAGAGAAGATTGGTGGCAATTATACTGAATTTGCTCCTAAGTTTAATGAAACACTTCCAATATTTTTGAAAAAATTTTTAGTATGCTTGCTTTAATTTTAGAATATAAAAATGATAGGATTAATATGCCAGCACTTATGAATATTATAATATCATAATTATCAACTACTACCTCCGGTCCTTAATATAAGAGTTAGTTTAACTTTCAATTTGGTTCTAAATGTAAGACTCTAATCTATTTTATATATCATATTATCCATTTTTTTCAAGGTAATTTTTGTAATAGTTGCAGATATTAAATGTTTCATTAAATAACATTTGATTAACAAAAATCTTTTAGGAAAGACAATACCTATTTATTATGAATAACTAATTTAACTAATTTTCTAATCTACTCAAATTAATCAACATTTGTACTAGTCTTTCTCGTAATATTTCTTTAATTTATACCTCAATCACTAGATGATCTGCTTCCAAATATCATTGTAATCTTCCCAGTTCATTTCCCTTCTCCTCTTTCTCTACATAATATAATACTATCTCTGGTCTTTAATATAAGAGCTGGTTGACTAATTTAAGTAAATTAAAAAAATTAGTTAAGTTAGTTATTTGTAATAAATAGGTGTTATTTTTCTTAAAATACCCTTGCTAATCAAGTGTCATTTGATGAAATATTTAATATATGCAATTACTACAAGGATTACGTTGAAAAAATAGATAAATATGATACACAAAGTGGATTATGGTCTTGAAAGTCCAACCAGCTTTTATAGTAAGGATCGGAAGTAGTATATGAGTTTCTTTTCATTGAGTGAAAGATTAAAAAAAAGAAAAAAGAAGATTATGCTTTGTGATTTATGTTTTGCTTTTAATGAAAGTTGTGCTCAGCATTTAATTACAAGTCCCCATTTAAATTTTTCGATGAGTCGGTATTTTTTGTTAAATGAAACTAGTGATGCTGAAATTAATTAAGGATTAAAAATATATTTTATAAACTTAAGGGATCATTATATTAAACCTTGATGTAAATTTAGAGAGCAAAGGTATAATTTAGCTTCTTTTTTTACTAGCATGATGATATGGGGAAAGAAAACCAACATACACATCAAAGCCAAAGTCCACATCAGCGTGCTCTCCATGTTTTCAAGTTTCAGAGGAAATGAACCGGTAAGCTCATCAAAATGATTGTCACTTCTTCCAGAATTGCAGAAAATGGAGTATAAAGAAATAACGAGTGGAAGTTGAGGCCGGCACACATGGTTTTGACTATTTATCAGTATATTATAAATAGATTCTATATTCTGAAGATGTTTATAGACAATATGATGTTGACGGTATTGTTATATTATGATACAGCTCTACTCCAGGCCTTAAAAGATGGAATATTGCGCTTATTAGTTATAAGTTATAAGATACTGTATTAATTAGGTCTTTTCAATATCACTCCTATGTAAAGTCATTAATTAATCACGAAAAAGAATACATACAAAATTTTCAAATAAAATTAATGATTTAATCACTTCTTCCTGATTCTGATGTAGTGGCTGGTAAGAGGTGTTTTTTAACAAGAACCGTAGTGGTTGGGGTATACACCGATGATTAGAAACGACTCAGTAATTAACAAAATTTCCATCAACTCAGTGAATGGAAAATTCAGCAATATGTACTAACATGCTATATGGTCTTACATTCAAAGTTTAGGTCAATCAAGCCAACTTTAACTATTATGCATAGTTTTTCTTTTTAATGAAAGCCGTGCTCATAAATGTAGGCTTCAAAATACATTGAAATTATTTAAGAAGCGCCTCCTATAATATTAATGATTGTTAGTGATGATTTCATTAAAAATTACTTCTTAGGTCCTCAATATATGACCTATTAAACTATTTTAATTAGATTAAAAAATTAGCTAAATTAGATAATAATAATAAATATAACATATTTTTTTTCAAAATATTCTCAGCTAAGACTTTTTCAGAGAACTGACATTAAAAAAAAAAAAAAGATTCTGGTTAACTTGTCTCCGAGGTCTGCACTAGTTCCAGTCTGACATTGTTTGACTTCTTCTGGCCAACACACCTTCCGTCGTGAAAAATATTTTATTGTGCTATTCTTTGGAGGTAAAACAATTCAATCACTTTGAATGGGTATTTGCATGAAAATATTTTTTTAAAAATGTTTTAAATTATTTGAGCAAAAAAAAAAAATGAAATACACAAAAGATATAGGACTTTTTTTTTCCCAACAAAACTGATAGGGATTTTTTTTTGTTAACAAAAATTTAGATAAGTTGAGTTTCGGACTTCTAAGCTTAAAGAGCTCTATAAAAATATTTACAAATAAAGCAATAGGGATTTAGCACTTAGAACCAAAGCAAACGACTTTTAAGGGGAATCTCCAATTGAAGTTCCATGTATCCTTGTTTTGATGATGGGGAAAGTACTTTTACTGCAACTTCAGAATCATTTTCTAAAGTAACAAGGTGAACTTTCATGAAGTCTCCTTCTCCAATAAAAGTTTTGAAGTTGTCGGTGATACGAATTACTTGTAAGTAAGAAAATTCTCGACCCTTCTGTTTTAGAATTTCCATCTTGAGGGATTTGGAAGACAAACCTCCTACATCATTATGTCAAATGTTCTGAGAATAATATGAAGAGACTAGAACAGGTTATCCAATCTGGGATAGTGATATATGGGACTTAGGGATAAGGCTAGGTGTAGTTTGGAAATATGGGTATTAAGACTACAAAAAGGGGTTTGCTGGATATAATGAGTGTGGAGTGAATTAGTATTATCTTGTTTTTACTCTCTTCTCCCTTTCTAATGCTAACAGGTAGCCAGTACGAACAAAAAAAAAGTTTCCAAGTTTTTGGGAATTAACCATATGCTAGAATTGCAAACCACACATTCTACTTGTATGTGTAAAGATCCAGAAATCATGAGTATGATAATATTCCAAATGAATTGGCCATAGATATGAAAATAACTATACCTTGTATTTTCTTTCTCATGAATCTCCAAATAATCAAAGAAAGAATGGCAATTAGGACAAAAACTGCAATTGATGTAACGAGAGGAATTACAAACTTGCTGCGTTCTTTGTCGCATGAATCTAACTCGCAGAGCCCTGGATTGTTAGCTACACTGCCAAAAATATAGGAAGAGGAAGTATAAGTTGAGCAAATGAGCTTTGAAATAACACGTCTTGCGCATTGCGATTTTGCAGATATTGTTGAGGCCAAAGCAAATTATTCATAAACAAAGAATTAATCAAAGATAACCACTCACTTATACATAGTGACACTACAAAAAATTTGACTTTCAACGGCGACAAATGTCGCCACTGAAAGTCCAAAAGTCGTCGCTGAAAAGTTTTAGCGGCAACATTTTGTCGCTACTAGGTCATTGTCGTAGCGGCCGTGGCTGAAACTTATCAGCGGCGACACAAAAAGTCGCCGCTGAAACTACACTTTCAGCGGCGACAAAAAGTCGCCGCTGAAACTCCACTTTCAACGGCGACTTTTCACTTTCAGCGGCGACAAGAAGTCGCGGCTGAAAGTTGATGAGTTTGCCATCAAAATATGTCGCCACTGAAACATAAGAATTGGCGGCGACTAGTGTCGCCGCTGAAGCTTGTTTCAGTGGCGACACTTTTGTCGTCGCTGATTATTCTTTCAGCGACGACTCTTTTGTCGCCGCTGAAGCTTGTTTCAGGGGTGACACTTTTGTCGCTGCTGATTACCTTTTTTTGTGATTTTAATTATTTTTATAATATATTAATTATGCAAAAAAATTTATTTATATTCCTGATAAATATTATCAAAAGGTTTAATAAAAATAAAGTAATTAACACACAAATATAATATATTAAATAATAAGATTTATAACCATCAAAGTGTTTTTATGTCTTTAACTAAAAAAAATTGTTCAATTAAAAGATACATTACATAATGCAAAAGAAAATTACGTAGAGGGACCAATACTAGGGACGCTAGAAGTAGGGGTATCTGCAGGAGCATTTAACTACATTTTTTGCATGAAAGCAGTGAATTGAGTTTGTATTCTCTGTTCCATCAATTGCTCCATCCTTTGTTCAAGTTGTGTACGCTCTGCTTCCATCTTTGCTTGCTCTGCTGCACGTTCTGCTTCTAAAAAGCTGATTCTCTAAGTTGTCTTTGAGCAGATATTCGTAGACCAAAAAGCCTATGTTATTTTTCACAGCAATATCTAATCAGTTTAACGAGGTGTGAGAATAAGAAAAATGAAACTAATCAAAAAATTGAAGAAAAATTCCTAGACCCGATTTATAGAGAATAAGAAAATGAAACTAACCAAAAGAAAAACATCATGTCAGGCGTCTCTTAGCAAGAGCAACTTAAGTTTTGCGACTAGTCATCAATTTTTTATTTTGTATATTGCCTCTCCAAGTCCCCACGACCCACACACGAATTAAATACAAACAACAAAACACTTGACCCCTAAACTTCCCACACAATCCCACACAATCCTTATCTCTTATAGCTTTACCATTTATCCCTACGACCCATTTCTGTATCCTGACCCACTCACCTTCAATCCGTGGAACTTCCTATGAACACTAATCCTACTGACTGCACGAAGGCTTCGGTTTGCACAGTGTGACATATATTTACTGATAGCAAGGTTCTTTTTGCATCGTAGTTTTGAGTCCGGTTAGAAAATATTTTCTTCTTTTAGTAAACAACACATACACATGACAGCCATTAAATCTAGGGGATTTCAAAAAAAAAAAACACACAATCAATCCAGCAAACCAGAGGAAAAACGGATCTGAAAATGCAGAACAAGAAAGGGGAGAAAAATAGAGCACCACAAGACTTCAAGCGAAGAAGAAGATCGGTGCACTTACATGGATGAAGCAAGAAAGAACGCTGGAAGTGATCGATGGACTAAAAGATGGACGCTGGAATCAGTCGGATGCTCGAAGCTTCTTTGCGTGGCGCTAAGAGGGAAAAGCAAAAATTTTCAGAACATTGAAACGGGTTAAATTGTTTTGGGTTTCAAAATGTGAAACTTTATATACAATAACAATTCGCCAAGCTTGCAAATAACACGCATGGCGTCGTTGGCGGGGGAGTTTTAAATTTCACCAGAAAAAAATTTAGGTCAGATTTTTTACATCCATTATATCAATTTTTCTAATTACACATAGACCAAATATCTTATTTTTGTTTCATATGAATTTATAATCAAATAGTATTAAACATTAATATTTTAAAAATAAGACATTTGATTTTGCATGATTAAAGAATTAACATAATAAATATAAATAACTTGAAATAAGTATTATCTAATCGGGTGTTTGTAACTAATGGTTGTTTCTATTTTATGACTTTATGGTCAGTCTAAATTGTGTGACGTTTTATAACTTTTATCATCTGCGTACGAATATATTGAGTCGCGAATATATGTTTTTTACCCGCTTGCCTTTCCAAGTTTAACATTTGACTGGACTAATATCATAGCAGTATTCTTCTTTGATGATAATTGACTGAATTATGATTTGTCCGATAATAATACTCAACTGAATAGCTGGGGAAAATAGAATTGATTTTTATAGTATATTACGAGTCTTTTTAAATTCCATCGTGATAGTCATAATTTTTTTAAATAAGTTTCTCCTTTTTTTGACCGGGAAATAAGTTCCTTTTTTTAATTAAATTGACCGCATATCATGAAATAGTTAAACGAATTTTTAATATACAAAATAATTTTATTGAAAAATGATAGTAAAGGTATATTATTCTAGTTTTGAATTTTGATAAATTGATACCATTCCAGATCAAGTGTTCCTCTAAATGTTTACGTTAAAACAATTAAAAAAACTTACACATATTCTTTTTTTTTTTGGTGAAAAAAAAACTTACACATATTCTGGTAACAAAATACTTGTACATATTGTATTGTTCTGATCCGATACGAGTTAATATTTTTTATTTAGTTTTTTAAGATATCGATATATTTATCTCTTAATATCAGGCTCATACTGTTTCCCTAAAATACTCCTTCTGTCCTAAATATAAGACTCATTTTATAATATAAATTACATTACAAAATGAGTTTTATATTTAGTATCGGACAAATATTATATTACGTTCTAATAAAAAAATTTTGTTAATTAACAAAAAGTTCAAATTTTTAATTATCAAAGTTACTTAATTATACAAATAAAAGATTATAATATAAAATTTTTACAAAAAATAAAAAAAAATGTGAAAAAAACTTTCAGCAGCGACAATTTGTCGCCTGAAAGCAGCTTCAGTGGCAACAGAAATTGTCGCCGCTGAAAGGAGATTCAGCAGCGACAATTAGTTGCCGCTAAAAATACATTCAGCGGCGACTTGAAATGTCGCCGCTGAAAGTGTATACCTTCAGCGGCGGCCATAAAAGTCGCCTCCGTAGTGTACACTTTTGGCGGCGACAACTTTTGTCGCCACTGAAAGTTGCAGCTACAGCGGCGACAATAAAAAGTCGCCGCTGTAACTATCACTTTTGGCGGCGACAAGAAGTGTTGCCGCTGAAAGTCATATTTTCAACGGCGACTTCCTTTGTCGCCGCTGAAAGTCATCACTGAAAGTCTAGTTTTTTGTAGTGTGACTTAATTATCATGATTAATCATCTCTATACATAACACTGACTAGGATTAATAAGTATTTTCAAATAATGAATGACAATCAGGAAACAAAATTCATCCAATTTGGCTTCAAACAAGAATAAATTAGAATCTGAATCTGATATTGAATTGAAGTCGAGTTCACCTGAGTTGCAAACTAGCATTTTCCCTCAAAGCCTTGGGAATTGATCCTGCGAGTTTGTTTCCAGTCCCGTCACTGCAAGATGGTAAACAGAGGGGAAAAAATGGTAGTTCTCTTGTCAATTTGAAAGCTGCGATGCAATATATATTAATGTCTTACATGAACTTCAAATTAGGAAGAGTTGGGAGAAATTCTGGTAGTTCTCCTATCAATTCATTATTTGACAAATCCCTACGAACAAGAGGAGTTGGTATTGTTCATAATATAATAATAATAAGGGATAAAGTGCTTAAATACCCTAACAGTATATATGAAGTAGCATCCAACACCTGAAAGTTCCTTTTTTTTTTTCAATTACTATTTATGCTTGAAAGTTTATTTTTGTAGCAAAAATACTTTGGTCGTTATCCACTGTTAAGTTTAACTATTAAATTATACAGTTTGACCGGTGTTTTTAACAGTTAAATTAACTATAGATAACGGTTTATAGTAGAAATGCTATGAAATAAAACTTTCAGGACATATAAAAGCTGCAAAAAACTTCCGGTGCTAGTTGCTCTTTTATATATACTTCCAAGGTATTTAAGCACCTTATCCTATAATAATAGTATTTCAGTCTTTAGAGCCTATTTTATGTAACAACTTGCAAGGACTCCAATTTTTCCAGATGGGTGAACGCTTGAGCTATTTGTCCTCTGAATTTGCTTGAGCTATTTCTCCTCTGAATTTACTTGAGCTCAAGTTCCTACACTAATTTGTGGTTCACAAGTTTAATTGCCACCAGAACATAGACAGCTAAACGGGAGTAAGAAAAGGAAATCTATTGCTTGCAGGCTGAAATATCTGTCTGAGCACAGCAAAATATTTTGACATCTTACGAATATAAAATCCTCACATTATACACGGTTCATATTTGTTACATTTCGGCGTTTTACTGCTCTCTTGAACCATTTGTACGCAACATATTCTTCTTAAATTCTTCAAATATAACAAATCATAAATAATATCAATAGCTGGCACTTCTTACAATGCAACGATTCTTGTATTGCTGCCAGAGTTGCATCTCACAACTTCCCGTGCAAACTTAGATGGCAAACATGGGTCCCCTTGCCAACTGATTTTGGAGATCCCATAAGTGCGTTTGATCTCCATGAAGGCATTAACTGTATAATTTCCAATAATGAAAAGAAAAACCCACTTGAATTTTTTCCCCTTCGTTTCAAATATATTGATTTTATAAGTGGATCAAAATCAAACAAAATGAAAGTTGGAACAAAGGAATAGAAAAAGACAGGCAATATATACCATCTTGTATGTCTGTAGGGGAATTTGGTTCTGGGAAGACTTTGAAAATCTCAAAGGCATTGAGAATAGGAGGAGCAGAAGAATCAACTCTTGCTCTAACTGTGAAGCTAACATTAGTTGTAGTTACGTTGCTGGAAATTAGGGTGACAGCTTTCAAGTATTTAAGAGTCAGTTCTTGAGAGAGGGAATTTTCATCATCATCATCAAAAGTGATATTTATAATCCTCTTTTGGCCAGAAGGAAGCTTTTGAATTTCAGAGAAATGAAGAAACAAATAAAACTGTTCTGGGATATCAAAACTAAATTTTGAAGTTAAGAGATTAATTAGAGTTATTCTGGGGTTCACATGCTGACTAATATCTCGATGGCAGTTCATGAGTGGGGTTTTCTACTTCTACTTGGGCACTTGTTTGTCAAACATCCCAATCAGAATCATCATCCATGCGCCACAAGCGATCGTACGTATCGCCCTTCCACCTGCATTATTTTCAAAAACAATTAAGCAAAAGCATCACAATAGAAAAAACAAAACATTAATATGTTTAAAGAGAGGGTGAGTTCTACAGTACTCATCAAATTTGAATCATCCGATTTTTTTTTAATTTTAATGGGTATATGATCTAAAATAAAAACAATATGTCAATTGTTAATTTTTTTCAAAAATAATTTTTTAATTTAAAGATTATCAATTGAAAATCTTAAATTTAGACCATTAAAATTGTATTTCAGTAGTATAGATCTCAGCACAACAATCGACACCAAGATATTCATCCTTGTAATGAGCATCGAAATTACTTCCGATAGTCAAGAAGTTCAAATCAATGCACGAAAGTGTATAATACAATCACCTACAGTAGGCTAGCATATTATTTACAATTTATGATAAATATTGCAGCTCATTTTTAGACTTCCATGGGCAATGAATAAAAGATGTCCTATTTCTGAAACTATGAGTATGTCAATTAATATAAAAAAACAAAATTTATAGCGAGAGCCATACTATGCGCAAGTTATTAAAACTGCAGCTTATTATTATTTTTTTCAAAATACATTGCAAAAACAATTCTAATTTCATTAATATAAGTAATTATTATTTTTTTTCAAAATACATTGCAAAAACAATTCTAATTTTATTAATATAAGTAATTTTTTTCTGCATTATTGTTCATTTTGACAAGGAAAAAAATATGTGCCAAAGTTGGTGCAAGGAAGGAAGAGTAGGTACCTGCCATAATTTATACGCTGGCCACAATCTCTTGTGTAAAGAGACAAGGGAAATGGAGCAGAATAGAGAGATTTGTTCAATGGTCTTAATTCTAAAGTGTTAATGAAAGGTGTTCCTTGTCCAATGTCTACCAAACATACTTGTGTACCATGTCGTTGGTAACCTCTTGGATTGTTACCTCCACATATGCGAAATTCTTTGCACCCAATTCAATTGTGGTCCAAAAATTGACCCCCAGGTAAACATCAAACTTTGGAAATTGGTTCTTGTTGTCATAATTCTGGCATGCAGATATAGCTTAGATCAAAGAGTTTTGTTTCTGATACATCTCTTGTTTTAGTTTCAGAGTGTGACAGTTTCTGTCTCCTTCTGGAAAACTTTTCAATGCGTTTAACTGTCTTTGGATGTATGGACGATCGTTGAATCGAAAGCTGGGAGGTAATTTCATGATTGGTTCCTCTTTCTATGAAGTGTTCACCTGTTTGGTAGGAAATCCCAGTCAATTCATCCACGTAATCTTTGCCTGCTCCACAATCTATGCTTATGAAAGCTGCACATTTATGTATTCCTTGTTTCACATGCATTCCCCAAACCATATATCAAGCTTCATCTATTTCCAACTTAATTCACGTTCATATACTCTCCTGTATGAAAGAAATTTTCTTAGGGATATGGTACCTCGTTTCTATTACATTATTAATGGACCTATCTGAAATTTTTAGCATCATTGACCAATTTCCCAAATTTTATTATTTGATTACCCAGAGGGTGAGCGCAGACTCGACGCAACGATAAAATTACTGTCATGTGACTTGAAGGTCATAAATTCAAATCCTATAACAGTTTCTCTACTTGCAAGGGTAAGGCAACATATATCTATCCCTTCTAAATCCTACATGATGATAGTCTTGTAAACTAAGCTAGGACCTTTTATTATTATAACTGATTGGGGATTAATTAATCATCCACGTACGTACACACTCTCACATGACGCTTTTGAAAATTAAGTTAATTTTTTTACATATTTATTGTGTTTAGCCAAATTTTTTATCTACGTAATTTAGTTATTTGCATCTTATAAAAAGGATTAGATGGAGTATGAATATAATTAAAAAAAAAAGGATTATCAAATCCACATAACCAAATCAATCCACTTAATTTTATTAATTCGCTATTTATATAGTTAAGTCATTTGCAACATATATATGTTTTTAATAAATTTTTCTGTGAGTATAAAAGAAAACTAAAAATTAAGAATCAAAGGCTGTCTCCAAGCCCTTAATTACCAAAAGAATACTTAAAGGCTAAGACAAAATGCTTACCTGAGTTACCATTGTCTTCTGCAACAGCCTGTGCTGATGAATGACTAATAAGGATGAAGGAAACCAACACGTACAGAGCCAGATCAACGGTATTGTGCTCTTCATCATGTTTTCAAGTTTACTAGAGGATGATGAAAAGAGAAATGAATTAGGAAGCTTAAATGAGATTGGCACGTCACTTATTTAAGAAGCAGAAAATGGTTTAGTATGAAAAATAATACAAGGAGAGAAAAAAAAAAAGGCCGGCACGGATGGTTACTGAATATCTTTTATGAATAGTGTTGTTGTAATTGGGTTGGTGAAGAAAAGAATTTTTAAAAGAAATATCAGCATTAATACACAATATAAAAAAAAGGGTTAATTAATCCGCAAATCCTTATATTTTCAACGAATTTTGAATCAGGTCTCTATAGTTTTTTTTTCTTTTTATCAGGTCCTTATACTTTTACTTTTTTTTAATTAGGTCCTTGTATTTATTTTTTTTTAATTAAGTCCTTATAATTTCACTAAATTTTTAATTAGGTCCATGTAGTTTTAATTTTTATTTATTAATTAAATATAAGCTTAATTAAATAGATTAATACTGAAATATAAAATATTAATAATTAAATTAAATTAATAATTATGTAATAAAAAAGTAAGAGAATTAATTAATTCAGGACATTTTTTTAGAACAATTAATTTTTTTGCTGAAAAAATTAAAATCATTATAATAATTCAATATCTTTAGAATATTATTGTTTATAAACTAATATTAAATAATATATACTATTTTATGTTTATATAATAGTACTATTAGAATTTATAAAATAAAGAATAAAAAATTCAGGGACTTAATTAAAAATAAGGTGAACTTATAAGGACTTGATAAAAAGAAAAATAAATACAATGACCTAATTAAAAACAGGTGAAAGTATAAGGACTTGATAAAAAGAAAAAAAACTATAAAGACCTGATTCAAAATTAATTGAAACTATAAGGAGCTGTGGATTAATTATCCCTAAAAAAATACAGGGAGCATAATTTATTATAAGTTTGTACTGATAAGGGTTGGATCTAGTGAAAAGGATTAGTCTCTTACAATGCTGGGAGAGGTACCCACATTAAGTGCCCAACAGTACCTCGAATAAGATTGCCTTATAAGAAAAATAATTTATAATAAGTTTGTTATAAACTCTATTCTATATTGAGGGATGATTGATGTTGACGTTATTGTTAAATATACTTGTATTGTCTGAGATGGCTTATTGAATATAAATTAAAGGACTCAGTCAGAGATAAAACCAGGTCAGGTCACTGAATAAAAATGCGGAACTATGAGAGTCTTTATTCTACTTTATCTTTTGGGCCAAAGATCAGATGATAAGTCTTTGTTTCATGATATGTATTAATATTATCTAATGGTTTGACTAGCTCATGCGTTAATGTTGTGCTTATACAATAATATTGCCAATACACGCGCAAAAACTAAGTTGTGAAGTTGTAGCAGATAAGGATCAACCATGAAAGTGACCATGAGAAAATAAGTCCGAGTACACTAGATATAGATGGAATTTTCAACATACATCACCGTCACAGAAACTTGCGTCAAATATCTAAGTCGTATTATTAGTACATACTACTGTTATTACTGCTACTATTATTATTCCTACTATTACTACCACTACTACTATCATTATTATCACACTACCACTACTAGTCTATTACTACTATGACTACTACCACTACTATTATTACTACTATGACTACGACTACCACCACTACCACTAAGAGAATACTCCTAGTGGCAAAATACTGAGGCCCTGTTTGGTATGAGGGATTGGGAGGGTTGGTACTAAGACTGGTATTGATATTGCTTAGTTTGTCATATTTGATATGTAGACTTTGGCAATCCTAGGATTGCTCAATACCACATTTTGTGGGATTAGCCAATACCACCGGCCCTGGCATTGAAAAATCAAACCTAGGACTGAACATTTTTATGCCAAATTACCCCTCACCCATCCCCCAGTCATCAACTATCCTCTTGCCTTTCCACTTCTCAAACGCACATACACCACTATATCAACATCGCCCTCCCCTTCATTCTTGCGATGGTAATGAAGGTGGAAAGAGGCAAAATTGAGGGTGCTACGATGGAAACTCATCTCTATCTTTAAATCTTCATCTTCCTTCTTCGAACCCTTGCCAATGGCAATTGACAAGTCTTCGTCTTTGTTCTTCAGATCCACCTCTGCTTTAGATCTTGATGAGCACATAGCGATGGAATAGAACTAGTAACAAAATGAAGATGTAGATCCAAACCCGAATGATATAGCTAAAGCAGAGGCAGTGGTTGAAGCATCGAAAGGAGACAAAGATGAAGAAGGAGCAGCGAAAGATGCGGAGTTGAATCATCATCAGAAACCCTTTCATTTGCATCAAATATGATCTCCACTACCAAAAAAAAAACTAAAATTCCAGCAATTTATTTGTAGCGGTTAAAAAACCTGCCACAAAACACGAAACTGTAGTGGTTTCAAATAAAACCATTACAAATCTATATTGGTTTGCTGAGGTAACATTTTGCGTCACACAATGTAGCAGTTTTTTCTTCAAATAACCACTACAGATTTGGTGTCATGGTCACGTCAAATGACACAAGCTTGGCGCCACAATTGTAGCGATTAGATAGTTGTGGTTAGGTGATAATAACTGCCACAAATGATGGCGAGAATCTAGCACCAGTTTGTAGCGGTTCAGTAGTTTGTCAAAAAATAGAAGGTGGACCATTTGTAATATTTGTAGCGGTTGATATTTAACCACAACAAAGTGTGCAAATTTGTTGTGGTTATCAATAAACTGCTATAACTGTCGCCAATTTGTAGCGGTTTCTCAAATAACCGTGAGAAAGTGTTGCGTTATTCAACATAGACATGACAAATGTCACTATTTTGTAGCGGTTTTTCTAAAACCGCTGCAAATTGGTGACAATTGTAGGAGTTTTAGGGAAACCGCTACAAAATGGTGATGTCTATATAAGCGCCACCCCCATCATTTTTCACTTTTGGCGCGTGTACGTAGGGAGATTCTGCTGAATTTTTTTTTTCCTTCAAAATTCCACTATAACTCCAGATCCAGGTCCAGATCCAGTTCTAACTATCCAAGTGCGAATGTAAGTTCATTTATTAGTTAATTTGTGTAATAGTTACAGCATTTAAATATTTAATTAGTGCTGTATTAATTTAAAATTTATTTTGGTTTGCTAATTTAATTAACATTGATATTATTTGACTTCATGATTATATATGGTATTGTTTTTAATTTTTGTAGTTTGCATGTTAGTTTTAATTAGTTAATAATAAAAATATATTTATTTAGTAATTAATTTAATTAGATATTAGGAGTGATATTATTTTAATTACAATTTTTTGTATTTTATTTAATTTGAGAAACTTGAATTTGGTTGTTTTTTTAAATTATTAATTATGGTTTGAAAGATAATTATAAAATGTTTAGGATTTATCAAATTCATATTTAAACAATTTTGTATTTTGTTTAATTAGTTATATGTGATTTAAATTGTTCAATTAGTTAATTGTGATGATTGCATATCTTATTGTCTTTAATTTTTTTTAGTTTGCATGTTATTTTTAATTGTTTAATGATAAAATTTGTTTATTTAGTAATTAATTTTATTAGACGTTAGGAGTGATATTATTTTAATTACATTTTGAGTATTTTATTTAATTTCAGAAATTTGAACTTGGTTTTTATGTTTAAAATTTTTATTTATGGTTTCGAAGGTAATTGTAAAATGTTTAGAATTTATTAAAATCATATTTAAACAATTTTGTATTTTATATTGTTTAATTAATTATTTATGGTTTAAATAGCATGGCTCGTCGACATGGTAAAGACCTCATTGATCCTATGAGACTCCCCGGTATCCTGACCAATCTGGGCCATCTGAGGAGCCAAAGGAGGATGAGGGGCCTATGATCAACATAGAAGATTACCTGATCGATGAGCATTTCGATCTTAACCTAGAGGGGAATGAGGACGGATTCGAGGATGATGTGGAGGGAGAGGTATGGGGCTCGAAGAAGGAGGAGGACCACCAACAGCAGTAGCAGAATCAGCCGTGTCGACTTGGTGGATGGTTGAGTGGTTGGGAGGTGGAGCTTGTGGGTAAGTGAAATATGTTATTTAATATTAATAATAAAATGTTATTGATATTATTTGATTATCAATTTAATTGTGCAGACCAAGCTGATAATAGGTTCATGAGGAGATTGAACGTGAAGGACATGCATTACATACAAGATGCACGTGTCATAGTTCCAACCAACATATTTTGAAAATTTCTTCTCTGACGGAGATGACAATTTACCAATTGATAGGTATTTCTTTTTTACATATAATTTTGGTTCATTTTTGTTACATTAATTAACAATAGATGTTTTAATTTTAATATATATGTGTTATAATTATTTCTAATTATTTGGCTTTATATATCTCTTTTTAGGTAAGGTGATGAAAACTAAATTTTCAATAGTTCATTCCAAACTATTTTTTTAAAATTAGTAATTTTAAAAAAAAATTCACTATTTGCAACAGTTAAAAAACTACTACAAAATGTACAACAACTGCTATAAGGGTAATAACTGCTACAAAGTGAATTAAAAACACTACAAACGACACCCATCATCTATAAATACCCCCACCCCTCTCATTTTTTCTCACTTCTTCTCCTTTGTTATAATTTTATCAAATAATAAGTTTTTTAGTTATCAATTTATTTTTATTTTCTCATGTTATTTAATTTATATTTAATAAAATATTTTTATTTTTTTATGCAAGACTTATTTAGCTTTATCTTCTACTCTTTCTAATTTATTTCTTACCTTCATAAATAACATTTCAAAAACTTTTTTAACTTTTATAATTATGAAATTCTAAATCTTCTAATAGGTATTTTTTATTTAATATTTAAAATGTTAGTAGAATTTCCTTATATAACATAAAATTTAATAAAATGTCATTCACAATTATGTAAATCATATTTAATTTATTATATTTATCTTTAAAATTTAATCACAAATCTGATAATAAATTTTTTTTTCAACGTAATATTTGTTGCGGTTTTTAAACCGTTACAAAGGACAAACTGCCATTGCTTTTCTCATATTTTTCCATTTGTAGTGGTTGTTAAACCTGCCGCAAATTCCTGTTGGCTGGCATCATTTTTTGAAAATTTTTCCATCTATAAATTTTGACACCAAATTGAATTTTTTGGTTCCCACCAAATGAAAATTTTGCACCCGTCATTAGTAGCGGGTTTGTAAACCACGACAAAGTTTCAAATTTCATTTCTTTTCTTGCAAATGCATTTGTAACGATTTTTTGACCACTACAAATTGTCTCAAAGTTATCTCATTCATTGCGTCATTTCTAGCGATTATATAACCACGAAAACATCTGTAGCGGTTAGCTATCTTGTGCAACGGTTCCAATAAACCGCTATAAAACCATTTGCATTGGCGGTTTTTGTAGCAGTTCATATAACAACTACAATTGGCAGTGGTAGCGGTTAAAACCACTGCAAATCAGCCATTTTAACCACTACAAATTACTCTTTTTTTTGTAGTGCTCAAATAAGTTGATGACTTTGTATCTAGATCTCAAGAATAATTTGATTACATCATCAAAAGGTTGCTAATAGATTTGTTTTTGGTTTTGCACTGAAGCAATCACTGAATGCGGTGACGATGAACTGCAAAGGGAAAGCAATTGCAAACTTTCTTTTTTCTTTTTAAACAAAAATAAATAGCAAGGGTATTGTTGTCTTTTTATAATTAATGACTGATTATAAAATAAAAGTAATGTGAACATTCCTTTTAAATACTCTTTCGGTTCTTAATATAGGACCTAATTGTTGAGTTGATTTTGGTCCTAAATATAAGACCTCTTTCTCATATGTATCAGTTTTTGCTAAATTACCCTTATGGATACTCCTTCAACCATAATCAAGTAGAAGAGAGAGAGAGGGGATATTAAGGAAGATGATTATGGTGTTTTAGGAAAAATATGTCTTGTTTCTTATAATTAATTAACTTACTTAACTTCCTTAATCCAATCAAATTAGTTAAATAGTTCTTATATTAAAGACCGAAGGAGTATTACTCCTTATACCAGACATAATTTTAAAGCTACAATGCCAATCCCACTCTCACTCCCAATCTCATCTCAATTCCATTGCCAATCCACCAAAAATTCAAACCTGCACACCAAACATAACCTTAGCATCCTTTAGCTGTGTTCAGTCTTATTCATCCAAATTAATCAAAAAGCTGAAAGTGCACCACATCATCATGCCATTAGAAAGCTAAAATGTATATGTGGTTTCTATATTTGCATCAAGTTTTGATTCCCTATCTTAAATTTATAAAGTGTATTTTTAACCACTTAATTTTAACATTCTTAGTCTCATTTAACAGAAAATAAAGTTGACTCAACAAAAAAATTCATGCACTCCTTATATATAATGATCCTTGAACAATGCAAGCAGAAAGCTTATCATAGTCTTGTAAAACAAAACATGAAGCTTTGCAGTCTTGTTTAGCAGAAATATATCAGGATGACTACCTAGCAGAGAGAACAGTGATTAACTCACTGTTGCCAGTATAATCACATGAATTTCGGAGGATAATGTCATTTATTCCCATCTCCAAAGCTAGACATTCTTGCAGTTCTCGCAATATGTAACTTTGGTTGGCCTTTGGGATGGTGGTTGTAACACGCATGACATTGCTACTTCAACAGCTTTCCATGTTGAGTTAACACTGAATTCTGCAGCTAATCTTGGATCAACAATGCCTTCAATATCCCCACTTTCAATTTTAGGTTGAATCCAATCAATAATGAAACTGATATCCTCAGGTCCTCTCTTTATTGGGGGACGACCCGTTATTAGTTGAAGAAGAATCATTCCAAAGCTATAAATATCAGTTTTCTTGTTTAGTTTTCCTGATCTTTGAAATCTGCAAATGAATCCAATCAATAATGAAACTGATATCCTTAAGTTATCTTTTACAGTTCTTTAGACATATGCTAAGAAACACTTACTCAGGATCGATGTAACCAGGAGTACGGCTGGTTGAGTTGATAGATGTATATCTTTTTCATTTGTAAATACTCTAGAGAGTCCAAAATCAGCAATCTTGGCTACTATCGATTTATTTAATAAAATGTTGGATGGTTTCAAGTCTCGGTGGAT